GATGTATGCTGATATCAAAACTGAATTTGTGCAGAATTACAGAAAGGACAACAGTGGAAATCTGGTTCCGATCAATGGAGGTGTGGTCCGGAGAGAATTCATTGTGCCATCTGATAGGCCGAAATACTTAAGAAGAAAAGCACTACAGTATCAAAGAGATAGCATTGTAAAACAGAAGATTAAAATTGAAGAATTCTTTAATAATCTGCATGATCCATGTAAGTATACACCCTACCCCCTCAAAAAAGTATGAATAGTATGCCCCCCAGGCAGACATATACCAGAGTCTTCATAGTATGTTTCATATATCATTTTAAAGCTTACTCGAAGTTACATTGATTGGTCAGGTATCATGGTTCAACCTTCAGATGTGAAAAATACAGGCATTTCATGTTTGGCCAATTAAAATTAAGTTCAAATTTTACACCAAATCACTAGTCAATGTGTCCCCCAGCCATCTTAAAGGGTTCCGATTAGCATCCCGTATAAAAACAATATGGCGGCTCCAGGCGAATCAACTGGATCAGTCCATTTTTAAGAAATAAGGGGAGTTCTGTAAAATCCAGTTTATTGAAATTGTCTTTGAGATAAAGTAATCCGTTTATAATGATTTTGAAAACGTTATCCAAAGAGTGATTGCGTTCAAAGAATACATGTACAACAGCCAATATAAATCCTTGTATTAGAAACCGGTTTGTCTTGCTTTGTTTCATTTGTAGGATATTTCATATGCCAAGCTGTGTGCTATTACGTTATGGGGAAATTTAGATGCCAATTTTTCCTTATTATACACAAATAGAAGATCCTGAAACTTCATCCATAAATGTGGAATTGATTTGTCAAAATAAAAATCACTCTTTTATAAATGTGTGACGATCTATAATATACTTATGCTATATAACAGTTAGAGGTGTTGACACAACGATCTCGAACCTGTGAACCCTTGAGTATTATTCCGGGATCGGGCCTTTTATACTAAACGGTGAGCAACACCAGAAACGAGCGTTCGATTTGCTAAACGATATGCGTCACCCTTTAACAGCAACAATATATTAGATGCGAGTAGAAATAATCTTGATTTACTGATCATTGAATATTCAAAATTCAGTCAAAGTGATGTCATATTTGAAATCTGCATGTAAAAATACATCTATAAATATGTTTTCGAAAAGTGGTTCCACACCCCTATTTGATCGGCTTTTAGGGTCATATCTGAAACGAATTGCTGCTTTTACCATGACCAAAAGGGGATGACACATTGACAAGTACTGTGGTGTAAAATTCAACTCTATCTTGGCCAAACACTTTTATTCAAAATAATTGTATTTTTCCCATTTGAGAGTTCAACCATGATACTTGGCAAATCAATATAACTTTGGATAGGCATTAACATGATATATGACACATACTACGACGACAATGATAAATGTCAGCCTGGTTTGACATACTTTCCGGACACGCTGTATTCATATATAGAGTAAAGCTCGTTTGTATTAATCCATAGATTCTCATCAGTGATGTAATGATAATCATCGTTATTAATAAACTATATTCCAGTTGATACAACACCGATCAGAAAGCAATTCCAATAATTTGAACATTGAAATTGTGTGTAGTTTGAAGTGAGCTATTGTATGATATGCGTTTATACCAATATACATACAAAACGAGTTCGTGATCATGAAAACAATTTATTTGCTTCCTTTCAACATTTGGTAACTTGAAATATTTATAGACTAAATCGCATTGTATATATATACAGACGCCGCGCGTCTGGATGCCGGTTGCCATTCTGCGTATTTGTTAAAACAAAATAGAAATTTACAGTTCAAGATTTTGTGGGTTTAAAGAGGTTTGTTTGATTTCAATTTTGAAGGCTTGTAGAAAAAGTATGCCTTATTCGTTTAGGGAGTATACATGTAAATCAGAACGAGCACCTCTATAATAAAGAGGCGCATGGAATTACGGAGACAAACTTAACGAAAACACATTTGTCTCCTTTGTTTTTTGTAATTATTGAAAATTCAAGATATTTAATTTGTTGTTGCCTTTGTGATGTTACCAGGTATTCAGGCTGTATTTATAACTTTTGCATCATTTGATAGATGGCGTTCACTTTCAGTTCCATACTATAGTGTTCCAGAGACATATAATTTATGTTTTAATATATGTTTTACATGTCTCTGAGTATTCCTAACGAGCTCATTCAGCCGTTTATTTATCAACCGAACATTTATTGAACGTTAGTTTCGATCGTAACCAAAAAGGACCCCAGATTTCATCTATGTATCTAAGAAGGAAGAAACTCCATCTGTATTTGATAAAATAATACAATTTATATTTTTCCTCCCATGGAAGCTTTTGCACATGATCTATTATGCGACCCAAATACTCAATTATAAACGATGTACATCACAAGGAATCATTTTAACGACTGACTTTAGACTCAAGCTATTGATTATTTTCAGATGTACCAAAAGATGGCACCCAAGGCCATCGGGCTGGGCAGCCCCCGCATTCATCGGATTCTTGGGCTAACAGGGACACACCTACTCATCGTCACATGGCGGGTGGACCGGGTCTCAATAGGCATGGCTGGGCACAAATGTATCAGCAACGGGCTACAATAGAAGTTTCAAATGGAAATCAGTAGTTCGCTATAGTTTTATTTGACATTTGACTAAAAAATGTATATGCCAAGAATTTACAAAAATCAACAGACGATGTGATGACAGGCATTTACATGTTAAACATATTCACAGAACCATTCAGGCAGCATATGTATATATTAAATGTAACTTATAACGTTGAAATAAAACGGAAAGGTAGTAAAAACGAATATGCTTATTCATTAATTATCATATATGAAAAATGCGCATTGCATTTAGTTGTTTTTTTCTTTTTAAATTAACGAAAAAATATATACACAATATTTACAGTGTTCAATGCATAAACAATTGGTTGAGCACTTAACTATTTTTTCAATTTTGGGCCAGTGTAACACCCCCGCCTTCGTTAGAAAAGCTTAGTTGATAACGAAGTAATTGAGTAGAAAATTCAACGAAGGTTAGATCCCAACGAAGCTATTTTATTGTATACTATTTATTAGTTAACTACACGTATTTTCATCGAGTTCGTATCGGATACATTTGTTACGTTAACATCGAAATCGATTTTTAGGGCCATTCGATTACATTATCGTAGCTGGGCACAACCAAGTGTCCTAAAATCGATTTCATCGTGTAAATGTAGTACGGCTCACAATATATACAGTGTGTTTCAAAAAACACAACGCACAAAAACATCGCAAAATCACGAAATCAGTAATTACTCCATCAATTCCACTTAGTTTACTATGAAGCTATCGAGAAAGCCTCGAAACAAAGCGTTTTTGCGAAAAGCCTCGAAGTAAAACATTTTCATGCAAAAAAGCCTCGAATCAAAGCATTTTTTGCGAAAAAAGCTTTCAACAAAAAAAACATTCCAAAAAGCCTCAAAATACGAAAACGACAATACGAGTTTTTCATGTAATACGCTCCAATACGATTTATTTCCCAGGGACAATACGATTTTTTCATGTAATACGATTCAATACGATTTTTATTCCTTTATATTTCTCTGGGAATACAGTAGATTTATGGAATAAACATATTATCCTATGGTCGGTTCAGAATATTGGAATTATCCCGAGGCCAATATAATATATCTGTCCGAGGGCCGCAGGTCCCAAGGGAAAATATATTATATTTGCCTCGGGATAATCCAAATATACTAAACCTCGTATAGGATAATATCTATACATATATCCCTCAGGATATACCCTATATCCAAAACCTCTCAGTACATAACCCTTATATAGCCCTCGGGATATTCCCTGTATAAAAAACCTCACAGTGCACGACCCCTATATACTTTAGCATGTGGCCCATTCAAAAAGTGTTGTGACCACAAAATATTGTCAAAACGTTGAAATCTAATTGAAAATATTCAAACTATTCTTCTTGACATTTTGAATATTTCAGCATTGATGTTTTGCAAGATATTTTCGGTTTTGTCTTATTTCTCACGTATCTCCACTTTAATCATTCGGAATTATAAAACGATGCAGTCGCACTAAATATTGTAATATTGTTAGAGTAATGCTCGGATATTTAGAAATGATTCATCAAATCGTTTTCGCGCATTTACTCTTTAGAGGGCCAGTAATTTTGAATCCTAAATGACCCAAAATATTTTTAATAATTGATGATATGTTTTTTGTACCATCAATAAACTTTGATATAAATCTTTTTCTGTTCAAAGCTCGAAGAAAATCTCTCATGTAGAAACTAATCGAAAGAAAAGAGAAAGAAATTATTTGCCTTGAAAAAGTAATGCTTGAGTTCAATTTAGAACTTGTTATTCTGCTCAAAAAGTAAGTTTTGACGGACAAAAAGTTTGTGCAAGTACATTGGTTAAGGAAAACACAGAATGGAAAACCTCAACACAGGATTCCATTAGATGTGTTTTCATTAACCAATAAATTAAAACATTATGGAGACATGTTTACAATGAGCAGACATTGCGTTTTATGATAAAAAACATCGCCGTTTTACTCGTTATACTACAAAAGTGACTCAACTATACGTGCATCCTTCGATCGTAGGGCGTCAAGGCCATTTCAATTACCAGGGACTATACTAAGATTGTAGACAAAAACAAAGATGATAAATAATCTTTAAATTCTAATTTTAAAACGGTAAGTATTATCTTCCAAATATACACTTCCGTTCAGCAGAAGCTACATTCTTTATTTCTTTTCTTTATTTCCAATTATTTCAAAACGATTTCCTGACACTAAACAAAAAATCAAAGTCCATTAGCCTTTATGCAATTATCACGTTGTTGGGAGCGAGACATGCATAATTTAATGTTTTATAACATCTCCATCCACAGCATCTACTGATTTATAACTGGTGTCGTTATGGCTATGGTCTTGAATAGCGCAAACGAAGAAAAAACATGTTTTCTATATACAAAGGAATTCGAACGTTCAAAAGTATCAATAACTTTGACAAATACAAAAAAGTAATGACTCATGTTGCTGGCTATTACCAGTCGTGTGCAGTTTGCATAGCATAAACAGGTGTGCGAAGACATGCAAAATCCAGTCCTTCAACATATAAAATAACACCAAGGTGACGAATTGCATGACAAAAGCGAACGACAACAATTGACGATTTGCAGAAACGTTCATGTATGCCTGGCCTACAAGTGAACAAGATGTTAAACATGGAACATAACGCTACCAAACTGGACGGTGACGAAGAAAAAAAGCGGGGAATAAGTACTTATTTTAAAAGGTAGGTCCTCTGATTGGCATACAAGACTGCAGTTTAACTATTGAATTCCAATTTACGCATGTTTTAACAATCTAAAGCTTTTGCATGTATTTGCATATTTTGACTTGCAATTAATATAGAATGAATGAAAATATCAACTGCAGTTGTAAGATCTGAAAGGAAACAATGACGGGAACAAGGTTTACGATATTCTAACATTTTAAGGGGGTGTCCCAGAATACTTATGTAGAAAATGAATAGGGAGGTTAAACAACACGTTTGAGAGAACTTGTGAGATTACTATTTCATCTCAGCAGCTGTTTTCTCAGGAAAAAATGTCCTCAAAAGTGGGCAAGTAATTACTTCGGAGAACAATTATCATAAGAGGATTATAATTTTACATAATTCTCGTACTTGTTTTTTTAAAACGTGGAACTGAACCTCCCTTCTAACTACCTGAATGAACATCAATTTATCATGCGCGAACGATCCAAAGACACGTACGGCTACATGAATTGACAGTTTCATAAAATAAAACAGTGGAGATATGTATAAAAAACAATCTATTTTGATTTGATCTTTTCAAAAGTAATTCTACATTAGCAATTTCATGGTCTATATTCAGCCTTTATGGGCAAAAAATACTTCAAGGTGAGATATTGTAAACATGTACGATGCACTGTACATGTATTGTATACTATGCATTTTAAAAACAAAATAGAGAAAATAAATAAACAAAGAAAATATGGTTATGTATTTTGAATTAGAAATTTTAGATTAGTAAAAGCACAATAATTATCGATTAGTAAATAAATGTTTTTCACAATGCCGTCAATCTGTTATTCCACCTTTAAATACATAATTGGCAATACATTTTGGACCAAACAGAAGAGCCGAAAAGGTTTAGTGTTCAACGATCGTTATTAATGAATATATCATTTTTAAAAACTATTTTTCAGGTACCGAAAAAAGATCAAACACGTCATTGACTCCCCATCCATTCTAATTTTCGTTGCGTTTCTGGCCATATTGGACGCTACATTCGTTGTCTCCCAGCTCATTATAGATGTTATCATCGTTAGACGTAAGTATTAACAATATCATTACTTGAGAACATTTCGTTGAACGTCATTATTACATTCAATCAAAAGAAAGTCATATGATTTGAAGATCTTAGCGTAGATATAAAGCACTAATAGGTGATAATTATCTTAACTAACTGAGAAAAATAGAAGAAATAATAGTCATAGCATTAGCAGTAAGTTTATTGATCTAAAGAACAAGAGAGAAGAAATTATTAAATAGTTAGTTCAAAAACAAGATAACACGAATCTAGGGCTCATTATTTGTCTTGTAAGCATCATAAAGGAGTAATATGAGTCAAATATAGCATCAGCCCACTTACCTTTTAGCAAATATTTTATTTATTGATCACCCTGTATACAGTTTTTGTTTTCTCCAAAATTATTCTATTGTATTTATCGCATTGTGTTGCGTTGCGTTGTACTATTGTAATACAATACGTTATATGTAAATTGCGATGCATTGCATTGCATTGAATTGTATTTTAGTGTCACGGGCATATTTTACAGATAATACTAGTAAATCTTTCATACAGTTCAAGTGGACATTGGCTTATAAGACATTGCTTATCAAATCTATTAAATCTATTAATGCAAAAGAAATTATATGTAATAATTCCATAGGTATCTGGCAATCATTGATGCGTACAGACAATATATATACGCAATATAGAAGTAAGAAAAAATCAGTTCCTGCAATCAGATCCTGAATATGTCTTTTAATCTACTTGAAAATTAATAATGTAATGATGATTTTAAGTCGAATCCAGCAGGGCTAAAATTTTGGAGGCATTTTTATTTTTTATTTTGATTTCCTCATTTTTCTTAACTATCATATAGTTTATATTATATCTGCGGTCAGAAACCTTTCTACGGTCGTCTTGGAATTTCTGTGATTAGGTAATAGCAGTCACATTTACCATGGCAGCCGTCCGGCGTATTTTGATTTTCAGGAGACATGCATAAAATCTATGGTTGCCATAAGGCTGATGATGTCGCACGGTCAGCGTAGGGCGAATCTGCGGGTAAAGGCAGGGCAACCACACTGAGGCCATAGGTCAATTGTAACCCCTAAAATCCAAGAGCAGTCGCAGGTCAACTGTGGAACATTTCCGCGGTCTGACTATACGGCTTGTTAATTTTTACGGTAACTGCAGAAATGCAGTTATAACTCCCAAGTTAGATTTCTACGGCGAGCCCACCGCCAGTGAAATACTTGATACGCCGTACGGAGACCGTAAGGCGACCGTAGTTTACCTACGCTCGCAGTAGAAATTTACTGATTTCAAGGAACTACGTTCCACGTACAGTTGAGATTTAAAACAATGCTCATAGCGTATAAAAACATGGAATAAATATTGGATTTGAATGATATTGAGATGTGAATTGCGCCTCAGCACATTTGCTCTACGGTGGCCGTATTTAAACTTCACAAAATCGATTTAGAAAATGCATGGTACTGCTTATCCCTATATTTCAGGCTGCATATTTACCTCGATTTTGGAAAGCTACAGTCGCCGTATGGTTGCCGTAGATCAAATGTGAATGCGACCTTAGATTTAGTGTTCATTGATACTATATTCCACAATTTACGGCGATTGAAACTCTTATACGCGTTAATTAAGACCGTATATCTGATGTAAATAAAATGATGTCATGTACCATTTTATACGATGCGCTTGCCACATTTCCTCCCCGCCTGTAATTTTCTACTTCAACGCGCGTAAAATGAGCGTAAAATTAACCAGCGCATGTGATTGAACGCACGTAATAAAGGTAAGTGTTTGATGTCTTGACCCACGTAATTTATGTCTTACAGGCGTAAACAAACGTCTGCATTCATCGGTTAGATTCGCCAACCATGAAAACAGGTTTCTACGATATGAAAACACATATATCAGAATTTTTCTTAAGAAATACCTCCTAAAGAAACATAGTAGGTATTTCCCAAGAAAAATGCTGATATGTGTGTATAAAGACATTTAAAGGGTCAGAGTCTGTAATTCCGATGCTAAATAAACCAAAAATATTATTTTTGAAATATATAATAATCTGAAACTGACTTTCTTCTCTGAAGATATTATATTTTGAAAAAATCCCCCAATAACCTAGCCAAGGTCTAAATTGAATTCATTACATGTTTTTATATTGAAAAGGTATTAATTCATGAAAAGGTTCAGTAAAAATGTTCAATGCTTCAAACATCTCATCCAGGTCATTAATTGTTTCTTCAAATCATCCAGTCTTACATCAGTCTGGGACTACATTGAGGTTAAGTTAACGATGAGGACAAACCATCCTGACATGTTAAGATTCTTGTCTATTCATCTATTTTGCAAAAATAGTGCTTAACCTTTATATACCCAGAATGACGGATATGTCTGTCACGAATAAAATCAATTTGGAACCCAGAAGGACATATATATGTCACAGAAGTTTTCACTAAAACTGCTCTAACTTTGGTAATTGCTATCCAATCTTCACAAATTATGTTTTAAAATGTATGTAATGGGTCTATGTTTACTATTCTTATAATGACGTTAGTTTTTTCTGGTAAACAAATTAATAGCATGTCATTAGCATTACCATGGCATTACAGAAAGGTAAATATATTTACATAGTTAGTTAGTTCCATTGATCACACGCACAAAAGCTGGTCACGGTGAACCGATAAACCGCCAAAACGTGCTTGATCTTAGTTTCTTTCCAATAGGACAACGACAGTTCAGAAATTTTTGCAAATCACTCGAGCGATCTTTGTTGAACTCGACTGGATACATACTTTAGCTTACCTTGGTTTAATGCTTGAAAACATGAATATGTATTTTGAATAAGAATCTTACAATCTGTTTTCGAGATTTTAAACTAACTGCCTTAGCTTCTGGATTCGCCAGTGGCATCTGTAACCATTTGCAATTGAACAGTAAAGCGATTTTCCCGAAAATATAATGACGATTTTTTTTTAACATATTATTTATTTCCTTCATAATCAAAAAATACACAAAATATCTACTACCAATCGCCATAGGCATTCTAGGTAGTTTAAATTACAATAGAGGATTAATTACAGTAATCATAATCATGAAAAGATTTAGTAGCTACCGCACGTCCAGGAGCACAAGACGAAAACAATGTGGAATTTCAAAAAGGTGTAAAATACTTAGTTTTAGCAGGTTCTTAAAAGAATTATATAGTTTGTCAATTGATTTAATCCCTTTGAAAACTCCTGAACAATCAAATCACAACGTCCAAGAATATTCCCAAAATCCAAATGTTCTCTTTAATGTGCTAAATATGAACGACCATTTTGGATTTAATTATTTCGTGTACCAAATGGACCTATTTTTTTATAAAAGGGTCTATACAATAATTAGTAATACGCAGAAGGTATATCACCGTAACAAATATTTATAGACAAAACTTTTCTTTATATATTTTTCAGGGCTTCTTGAAAAAAACATTGCTTCCACATGGACTTTATCAAACGCCCTGAAGGACGCATACCCTGCCGACTTCCATTGCTTCGACGAGAATCATTACGATTTAGGGAATTTAGAGGATCTTGTATCTTTTCTCAACCACGGGGATGATAACCATGGAGACGATAAATACCAGGGAGATGGAGTCCATGAGGAAAGGAGGAAGCGCCACCTGCAAACTAGAAGTAAATACATTCAAGATAATCGAGTACTGTCAAGAGTTCTACGTGCTGCCATGCGAAACATGCATTCACAAGATAAGACAATAAACGGAATTCGGAACGATGAAGGACCTCCAAGTAGGCGTATTCAAAAACGTGGATCGGGGACAATCAAAAATGACACTATCTTGGCGAAAAATTCGACATTTGAAAATCACGGGTGTCCAAATGTAACCGAAGACAATCACCATGACGGAGAGCATGATCTCGAACATACTCTCGCGCATGCTTTTCATATAGGAAGTCTCGTTGTGCTCACTCTGATGGTATTTGAGGTAAGTATTTGTTTCCATGTGTTTTATTGGCTTGCCTACTCGTTGGCAGTATGATGTGTTTCTTAACAGTAGTATCAATACGTTATATATAGTTCATGACAACACAATTTACATTCATTTACATTACTTAACACACACTACACAATCAAAAATGGCAAAGGAACTGAATGCTCGAACTGCCCGAAGTCTGATGAAATGCTATAAATATATTGCGCATAATTGCCCACGAAATTCATTATACAGTTGTCGAATGTGACCCAAATAACGTATGAAATGATTTCATTTTTAGAAAGTTCTACACATACAAGCTCACGGGAAAAAGATTTTCAAAGATAGGCTACAGGTAAGATTCGATGCCTCAAATCTCAATCTTCAGAATAGTTTAGAAGTACAATTACGATTAATGGCATCGAGCTGACCTTCGACTTTGAAAACAACCATTTTGGAGAGTTTTGGAAAATACAAGATCCGTCAAGGAATGATATGAGCAAATAAAAGTTAAACAATTACGTAAAATCACGAGAAAATGGCTGATTTCATACATTTACTATTATAACGCGGTAAACACGATACAAAAATATGTCATATTCCGCAACGAATATGGCATATTCACTTGCGGTGTATGACAGATTCACCTGCGGTATATGGCATACACACTAACCAGTGAGAACGTGATACGGAAGTACGCAATTGTCAATTGCATCGATTGAACGAACAAGTATGAAACGTTATAAATTATTATAATGACTACTGAATCAACAGTACTGTGTATCGAATATATTTACTTAGCAGAAGTCACCAGTCACCAATCTCGCGAAATAAACGTATTCAATCAATTCAGGATTCATATATTAGTACTCGACGCACTAACTATATTAGTAATCCAGCGTAGTTTTACATTTAGAGTCGATTCTCGCAACCAATCAAATCAAAAGGCTTTCTGTATCACGTTTTCACCTGCGGTAAATGTCATATTCACCTGCGGTATATGGCATATTCCGCAAGTGATTATGACATATTCCGCAAGTAAGTATCGGGTATTCACTGGAATCAATGTATCGCATATTCACTGCGGAGTATCGCATACTCACCTGCGGAATATGCCATATACCGCAGGTGAGTATGGCATATTCACCCGTATCACAAATACCGCGCAACCATGAATGTATGCCATATACCGCGTAACAACTATAAGCAAAACTGATGAAGAATGTGTTAATTCAACAATGTCATGCATCATCACATGGCATCTTTTTTTGCATCAATGTATGTGTTCGACCACTTAATTCCTATGCAGATCGAATGAGAAATGTTTATTGTTAGTATTTTAAAGTTTAGTGGATGATATTTGATCTAGAAATGACATGATTTGTTGGATAAAAACATTCGTTTTCGAATTACCTATCTTCGGCCATTTATAGGTAATAACGTATCGTAAACCCTGTAACTTAGGTAAAATACCACTTAGCGTAATTACAAACTACGTATAGGTATAGGTAAATGGGTTATTTACGCTAATATTAAATGTATGTTTTTAACTGCTACGCTTCTAAGATATGAAATCTATTGAAAAGGTCCCATGTTACCATTGCGTAAAAGTCAACCTTTTAGCTATAAATCAAGGAGATTGTGTCTCCATGACCTCCTGCAAAAATCGTACGAGATCTCTCCGTGCATTGTCCGTTTTACGGGCGTAATAACTTTGAATACTATTTTGATGATTCACATTTAAGAAGAAAAACACTTAAAATGCTTAATAGGGTAACATATTTTTGAACCAGTGATAAACAAAATAATTAATCGTGAGACCATATGACCTCTCTTCAAGGTCGACTTCTTGGGAGCTAAAGAGACCGGTTTTCAGAGCCGGTTTCTAGAAGTCATTTGACAAAACCGGCTTTTTAGATAATGCAGGAACCGGCTTTTAACAGTTTATACCAATTTGTCTAAATGCCTTCAACCAGTTATCTTGCTTGCGTTTGAGGATACATGGATAGTAATTTACCATGATGAATAAAACGCAATTGCTTTTAAAGGTGTTTGATGGATTTGTTGTGATCTTATCTTGGATCCTTGATCTGACTCTCATTGACGGGATCTGGGCATGGGCGGAAGTGGACGCAGCTTTGATCCTTATAATCATTTCTCCTTGGAGGGTCATCCGTATTGTTAACTGTAAGTATAGAGTCGATATATATTTAGACCCTGTACATATATGTACACCTTACTTTTTCTTCTTGAGGAAGAAAACAGGTAAAATACATGTAAGGTCTTGCTGCAAAACGTGTTCAGTCTGTCACTGCAGAGCAAAAATTGCCAAATTTGTGCGTTTTTTAACTGGTCTTTACAAGGGTTGAATATTTTTGCAGGTTTTGTTATGACCTTCAAGGAGAGATATAAGATCCACATACGTCTTATTCAAAGGCAAGCACGGTCGAGTGAAAAGAAAGCAAAAGTAGCTACCAGCAAGATGACACGAATCGAGGTAAATATTCAGTTACAATAATATTAGAAAAGTTAAAAGGTTTAAGTTAAAAAGAAAATGCTGAGATCAATCTATTGAATCAATCTATCAATCAAAAAATTATACCATACCATACATTCTTAAGATTCTAAATTAAATATATTCGAAAAGGTTGTATAAAGTAATTTTTAATTGTATTGCTTTGTATATATTGTTGTATTGTAATGTTTTGTATTGTTATTGTAATGTATTGCATTGTTTTGCCCTTAGTGTTCTGTGCAAAACCCAAATTGTATTCATAAAATATTTCAAGAAAAAGACACTTTGCAATATGTTTTATTGGACACTTAATGTTTTTTATTTAGAGGGAGATATTGCATCTTAGAGATCTAGCTGCAGATCATGGTGCAACTGATGAAGCGATTGAACTGTGCACTAACAAGAGTTCGGAAGGTAATCATGATTGTTTCAACATATAGTACACTAAATCTATTCTAAATGCTCGAATGCCTAAGGATACATAAATTCAAAAGTAAAATCCGATGGCGTTAATCACACTTAAATGTTTTAAGAGTTTACATTTTTCTTTAAGCTTCTTTAATATTTCATCTTTATCCTCACAATTTGCAGTAGCAGATATTACCAGAAAACATCATCTGAATTGATGGCTCTCACCGACGTGATTGTTTTTATCAAAGATTCATTGAATTCGGCAAAAGTCATTTGCCTTTTGCAACTAATGTACTATGTTTTCAAAGACCGATTGATCTTCCGCACCACTTTAATTTGTGTTCATTTCAGATGAAATCACTCGCAAAACGGGAAAATACTTTAATATTATGTCACGCATTACGAATATTCTCCTAACGACGTTGACCATGCGAAATGACGGAACGAAAAATGATGATGAAGACGACGATCCAGAACAGGGAGGTACGTACATAAAAATGAAGATAATGGGGGTACCCCTCCTTCTTTGGAGAGCTGTATGGAAGCGTCAAAAATGAAAATCACAATGATTTGGGGATAAAATTTCGCTAATTTGATTTGATTAACATTAAATTATATTTCTCAGGACCATATTAAGAAATTGAATTAAAATTCAAAAATAAAGACTATCCAAACATACATTTTGTATAAATCTTTGTAGTGTATTGATTGGTTTGTCATAAGTAACAACTCTTTGCTCTCAGTCTAGTTTGAACATAATTATTAACTCATAGTCAACAAGATGAGATCAATTCTTAAAGTCTTACGAACATTTTCTTATTATTGATTTAATTTTAGATGATACGCCTGAAACGCCTGGAATACGGAGATGTCTTTCTGCGGTGGAGTTGGAGGAAATTCAACATGACCTCAAGGAATGCAGGTAAAATACTTATGCCAACTCCATTGGCAGTGTCTCGGAATATTATGTTGAAACTAGCACTCCAACGAAGTATATACTTTCTCGACATTCGCGCGTACACTAAACTTTCAGCGAATGTTTCCAAAGCGAAGATTGCTCACTTATGTACCATTTCATTTAGTATTAATTGTACTAAGACAAATCACTACTTCATGTGTCATATAGATGTCAGATCACTTAAGGGCTGGGCTTTACTCAACGTTCCATTGATTTTTGATATTACTGTCAATATCATTTCTCTTTGAAATATTTGAAAGAATCTAAAGCCTGCTGCTTCACAAACCATTGAACTATGTGCCTTTTCTCTCCCCAATGAAATTGTAATACGGGTAACTTAACGAAATCGTCCAAATTGAATTATTAAACGTCCTTTGTCTTTCAGCATTGCTGTTGAGACTAGATTTGCACATCTTGATGAAACGAAAGTGCGCCCTGTAGAAACAATAGCATTTCCTGTGGAAACCATGGTACATTTTGGAGATACATCCGCACAGCCTGTAGTAACAACAGCAACGCAGTCTGAAGAAAAGAAAACACCCCCTGTATATACAATGGTACACTCAGCGGAGAAGACGGTGAATCCTATATTTACAGTCGTTCATTCTGGGAAAACGGCAACGCGCCAATCTAGACACCCTCTAGATACAAGGGAGCTCTCCCGAGAAAATCTAAAGAAACTTATCTCTGACACGACGGTGAACTCTGGAGACAAGACAAGACATCCTGTATACACAATTGTTCACACAGGAAAAACGACGCCTCACCCTCCAAATAGAAGGGTACACTTTGGAGACAGTACTCTTCCGCCTGGAGATACAATGGTACACTCTGTGGAAATGACTGCACACCCTGTAGATACAATGGCACAATCTGAAAAAATGACTGTACAACCGTTGAAGGAAAATAAGAAAATGACAGTGCAACCATTGAATGCAGTTGCAGACTCTAAGGCACCGACTGTACAACAGTTCAATTCAAATGTGCATTCTGATGAAACGCACCAGTTGGATACTATTGAACACTCTAAGGAGTCAACTGTGCAACCTTTGGATACAACTGTTCATCCTGGGAACACGACTGTGCAACAGTTGGATAGAACTATACATTCTGAAACGTCGAATGTACAATCATTGAATACAATCGAATGCTCTAAGGAGACAACTCTGCAACCGTTGAATAAAACTATACATTCTGATGAAACGACTGTGCAACCGTTGGACACAACTGTACATTCTGAGGAAACGACTGTGCAACCGTTGGACACAACTGTACATTCTGAGGAAACGATTGAACAACAATTTGATGAAACTGTACATTGTGAAGACACGAATGTTCAACCATTGGATACAATGGAACAATCCAAGGATACAACTGTGCAACCGTTGGATACAACTGTACATTCCGAGGAGAAGACTGTGCGACCGTTGGATATAACTGTACATTCGGAAGAAACGAATGTACAACCGTTGGATACAACTGTACATTCTAATGAAACGACTGTTCAACCGCTGAATTTAACTGTAAATTCTGAGAAAACGCATGACCAACCGTTGGATACAAAGGTTAACACTAAGAAAATAACTATTTCACAGTTGGATACGACTGTACATTCTGGAATGACTGAACAACAATTGGATAGAACTGTACATTCTGAGGAAACGACTGGACAACCATTGGATACAAATGTACATTTTACGATTGAACAACCGTTGGATACAACTGTACATTCTAGGGAAATGACTATTCAACCGTCGGATACAAATATACGCCCTAGGGAAACGATTGTTGAACCGTTTGATACAACTATACATCCTGGGGAAACGACTGTACATCCGTTCGATACAACTGTTCATTCTGAGGAAAGGACTGGACAACATGTACATAAACTCGAACATTCTGGAGAACCGACTAAACACACTTTACAAAATGTGGATACAACGGTAAACTCTGCGGAAACTTCTGTACACCCGGTAGATACAACGGCAAATTCTGGGAAAACGACAATACACCATTTGGATGCAACGGTAGACTCTGAGGAAACGATGGGACGCCCTGAACATACAGTAGTGTACTTTGAATGAACTGTACAGAAGTAAACTTTGAAGAAACGATGGTACACCCTGTAGATACAGTAGTGTACTTTGAATGAACTGTACAGAAGTACACTTTGAAGAAACGATGGTACACCCTGTAGATACAGTAGTGTACTTTGAATGAACTGTGCAGAAGTACACTTTGAAGAAACGATGGTACACCCTGTAGATACAGTAGTGTATTTTTGAGAGACAACGGGCTATACCGTGGAAGAATCTTTTAACTTTTGGAGGAAACTGTATATATGAATATAAACAGGATATTTTAGCTCACAACGAATTAATATATTACCTTAGTTAGCCTCTTCTGAAACTCGTAAATAAATAGTTTACGTATTAGCAGTCTAACAGGAATCATAGGAACTGACAGCTTCCTATATACATACGTGTATAAAACACCTGGAGATTCTGGGAATATTCTGATAAGACGTCGGATAGCATCATATCTTATCTATTGCTGTCTTATGAGAAAATTGGAAGGAATACAACATTTACAAGCATGTAACACAACCGTTCTCGCCCTTTTGCACATAACACAAACTGTTTTGGCCATTTTGTACATTGAAGCATCTAAGTCTGTATACAGTATATTTATCATCAATCTGTTCTATATGGTCTTCGTACCCTAGGTTATTGTATGTGTACCCTGAATTAAGGTATTTGAACCCTGAGTTATGGTATTTGTACAATAAATTGTGGTCTTTGTACCCTGGTATGTGTACCCTAAGTTATGGTTTTGTACCCTGAGTTATGGTATTTGTACAATAAATTGTGGTATTTGTACCCCGATTTATGGTATTTGTACTCTAAATTATGGTCTTTGTACCCTAGGTTATGGTATTTGTACCCTAAGTTATGGTATCCTTACAATAAAATGTGGTCTTTGTACCCTATGTTATGGTCTTTGTTCCTTGAGAGTCAGAGCCTAGTTTATACGATTAAGCAAAATTTTGGAAAAGTACGGTTTTGGTGTTTACAAGTTCAGTCTGTTTACCTGACAAAAAACAGGCAGTGTTTATTTACGAAGTCAATGGGAGGTTTTGTGATTGACAGCTATAATGGTTTATAGTTATGGTTTTAAAAATACAATTCCATTATATACTTTCTTAATTGCATTCATTTAATCTTTATCCATAAGGGATATTTGTCTTGTAATCGCAGTATCTCAAGTTCTCCTAGTTTTCAAAACATTGGCGAATCTGATATCAAACACAGAAGACACATTTGTTTATTTAACATTTGATGTTTTACACTCCCCTTCATAAGTTTGGGAATTGAACGTTTTTTTTTTTAATAAAGACTGTCAATGTTTCGAGCGTAATCTTGTTCCCTGTTCATTACATTCAATATTTTTCAGAAATGTATGATTTTGACGAGTTATTTTAATCGCCAAAGGCAGATTTTAATGAGTCTTTCAAATAAGGAAAACCCAGGTTGCGAAATTTATGTAGGGGGGTGTACCACACATGGCATATCAGGTGCTATGCACATAAAGAACAGCTTAATTGCATAGGCTTTTGAACAAAAACTTCTGGGATTTGGGGTAAGGAGATAAAATCTGTTTATTTTAGTACAAGGTACTGTATATCGATGCAATGGATCGTCATACTTTAATAGTCTCACATTGGTTTGTAACGTGGTGATTGAAACCTGATTAATTAACATTCATTATTAATTCATGTATGGCAATCAGTATACAATAAAATATGTAACTTGTGTAAGTCCGAGTTATGTTTTGTTAAATTAATTAATAGTGGGCAATGGCATGGAATGACTATGTATTATACTCATCCAGAGATGCCCACCGTGTGTACACCGTTGCCCATACATCTGGAACACTGAGCACTGCTCAAAAGTCAGTATGTTCACTCTCTCATGTGTAACAACTTAGCTTACATATATGTACGTTTTAATTGTATGGAAGTATGCAAAAATGGTTGTTCTAAAATGTCCAGTAAAGGAAGTTATCCCTGGTACCGTTTAACTGTTTGCGTTTATCATAATACTACCCAAAATATTCATACACAAGTCTTGATTATTTTCTAATTAACTATTTTTAGTTAGTTATTTTGTGAAAAATCACCATTAAAATTACATTATTTTCGAATTATTGAGAATTTATGAGAATTATTGGCAAATTAGTGAATATTCCAAATATATGAGCAATGGTGTGTATTTCCTTTTAAAAGTCAACGCCTGCCTGTAAATTGTACACAGATTGGTCATTAAACGACATGTACAATCACAAAAGCAAATATTATGTCTGTGTCATTTTTGGTCCACTGAGCGCATTGAAAATAATCATACAATTACATAATTTGATTATAAAAATAAATCACAATATGTACTCTAGTATGCAATGGTGTAATTAGGTCTTTATCACGAGATGACTCATTGTTATATGTAGAAAAGTAATAAAATATGTTTTATCTAAACCATCGCAACCTTTCCACCTTTGCATCAATTACGTAACATAATAATAGCAGCAGTGATGAGATACAGGTGAGACATCGGGACTCTCCATTTAACATTAAGAAGGGGATTTGTCTAAACAACGTTTAGTTCAACAATTTAATGATATCAGACTTCTGTGTCACGGGTTCTTTTAAAATATAATAATTGAAATAAATAATTGGAATCCAAAAAGCTGGGGTTTCGTACAACAGGTTCTAGCTAAAACGTATCCGAGCCGCATCTCATTTTAACTGAACTAAACGCAAAATCTGGTCAATGCATCGTGGAATGTTGACGTGAGCAGAAACGTTGTGCGAAACCTCTCTATTAATATTGCATATTTAGATGCATAAGAATGATGTATACAAATGGATTTTCGGATGTCTTTAATAACCCTCCAGATTACAACAGTTGTCACTCACAATTTAGGATGAGACTTCAAGATTGATATTTACAAAACGTGAACGAAAAATCAGTCTCCTCAGTGAGCTTACAGTTGATATTAAAAACAAAAGAAAATGACAATCTTTTACCACAATATCTACGAGTGACACCCAGTTAAAGACATACATATCAAATCTTCGTTGCAATACATACAAACTGAAGGGTAGCCTTAACAAGAAATTTGGTGGCAATCCTGAATGTCCATTTTGTACAACCTCACCTATCGAGGAAGACCTATCACATTTTATTTTGAACTGTGCTTCTTTACAAAAGAAAGAGCAGAAGTGCCCAAACGTATTAATACAAATATTACTATTACCTTAAGTTCAAAAGTTATTTAACAATGATCATGACTGTGTTTATAGATTTATAAAGTCAGCTTATTACCAAAGGAACTTATTATTAACAACTTGAAAGGTCTACACTTTTCCGTTATATTTTCCCACTGTTATTGATAATGTACATTCAGCTGCATTATATGCATACAAATGTTAGGTTGTACTTGGTAAGACATATTTTGTTGTGTCAATAAACTTAAACTTAAGATATATAACACTGGTATGACAGCCCGGTCAGTTGACATCTGACATTTCTTTATTATTGAGTCGAAATATAGGATAATAAGGATAAGGATAATACCCTCTCAACAAGACGTTAAAACCATTAGGTATGTTCTCCCGTCCAAGATTGAAGGTTTAACCGGAATCTAACTGCCCTAGTTGAAAATCATTTTTAAAGACTTTTGGGAGGTGTAGAATCGAATGATCGGTCCCCAACAGTAGCATCACATTATAGACTATGCATATACATATAGCATATTTAAAGGGAACCAACCGTATCATTTTAAGGATAATACTTTAAAGATTGCATAACCAAATAGTTACTACTTACGAAACCGTCACATTGTGGATACTCATGACCAGTTTGTCGTGCACGCACGTGAACGAATCGGACGTACCTCTACACTGATTATTCTGAGAGATTTTTCCGACGTTAACACCCATGTGTATTAGTGTTAAAAGCTTAATATTGAAAAACATTTTCAATCATTAGGTATATGATTTAGTGGTATACCAGTACGTATCTCTGACAGCTGTTAACATGGAGCTCTATGTTGCACGATTGGAGGCAGGAGGAGAGAAATCACAGGGAGTAAAAGCTTGTTTGAAAAGGTGAGCCTTCCGGGTAAACTTTGTTTTATTTAGAGCAAGATGGTATAGGGTACATGTAATCATTAAAGTAAAGCCGTTCAATAAGAATGGTTTCATATGATAATATAATGGTCTACGCTTTTCAGTTTCGCACGAAGAGTTAATAAAGGTATCCTGATTATTAATTAAGGGTTAATAATTTTCTATGATGTATAGAAATTAGATCAATTCAATGACAGTCCTACTTTTTAAAGGAAAATGCACGTCTACATCAAAGAGGGTGCCTAATTTGCATAAAAACTAATGCTCATTACATGGTTGTTTTATTCAAGTGAAACGCAACATTGTACCCTTTTCCCATCCTGATTCGCGTGTTATAACCACCATCTACAGATGGAAGTCGAATATCCCCGTTTTCCCGTCGCAAGCGCTTTGAACTTTATGAACTCCGATCTGCCCTGCTAGTAACAAAAATGGCGTTTAATAATATAATGTTTTATTTCCCTATTGAGTATAAATTGGTAATCTTGGCCTCCCCTGCTATTATATATTATTGTTACATATCATAGTAATACATATTTGTGTTTAATTCCCCATAAATTATAATTGGCGATAAGTGGTGGTTTTCATGTTCTGATGAGCTACCTTATCAAAAGGTTTAAGACGTTTCGTTTGCCACTCGATGAGTTTTTATCGTTTTTTATCGTTTGCCATTAAAAAGCTGAGCCACCGGAGAGATAACATCACAGCATGAATATATTATAACAACGTAGGAGAATAAAAATAATGATTATTTTATCAAAAAGATAGATGATTACATCAGGTATGCCTACGGTTATATTACAAAACATATGAAGGATCGACCATCCGAATGCCCAGAATCACGTGTGTCAAAACTTGTTGGTAACGTGTAAACGCGCAAAATGCCATCCAAATGGGCAAGCCTTGGTTTGGTCATTCATGCACGTTGTTGTACGTTCAGTCTCTCTGTTTTTACGGTTCTTGTGGAGTCTGAAATAAGTTATTATCACTTACTATTATCATTTTTCAGGTACCGGAAGAAGATCTCAAACATTATAGACGCCCCCTCTATTCTCATATTCGTTGCGTGTCTGGCCATATTGGACGCTTCATTCGTCGTATCCCAGCTGATCATTGATGTGGTCATTGTCAGGCGTATGTATAATATGCTCAACATGTACATGCCCCCCCCCCTCTCCATAAGTTTGGCAAAAAGAAGTCTCCTTGTACTGGATCGGGTGTTAAAGCCTGTGAACAAATTCTATTTGTCATTAATTTCCGAATTATTGTAATAAAGGAACAATTAATGATTCAAACATAAAAGAGGCTTCAACAAGCTATCTGGAGAACTTCCTGTATTGAGGGGGGGGGTGCATGTGTTTTGTTTTAAGACTTCACGTTTATACTAATGTTTGCACGACTAACCTGGTGTTGAGGTTACAGTTATAGAGTGTAGTTCCTTATAGCGTAGAAGCAATGGTTTGACGAATTTTCATGTTTAGGAAATATACATTTCTTATAATATCCAACTTGTGAAAAATAGTTTTTTGTATATTTCATAGAATTTAACCCAGTAATGGTATTTTAATGTATTTTGTTGCATTTTGATTGCTTTGTTAGAAATCATAATAATGTCATGAACTTTTAATATAAAATATGCACTTTCATGGTTTATCTATTTTTGGATTGAATAACCCTAACAAACGACATTTGTTCACTTTCATCCTAAAGGTCGCGCATCATATAGTTAGTTTATGTTTTCCATCGGATAACATGCATATTGAGCATGCTCAATTTTGCTTTTCATTTAAACTTTCAATGTCTCGTCACATGTTTTATGTTTCATTTGTAGCACGAAAGTCTGAAAATTATTAAACGTTGTTCCAATCACATTCCAATGAACAAACGTGCCTGGAGCGACCGCCAGGTGACACAACATGTACTTAAATTGTCAATAGTACATGCTCTTATTCCCCGCCCCTTGAATAGTAAAATCCGAACGGCTGCATACGTATTTTATTTGTCCGGTCAATTATCATTCATGATATCACACAATATCTAACATACCATTTAAATACCCCCCCCCCCCCCCCCCCTCTGTTCCTACCCCTTCTATCTGATGTCATTAATATATCTGATCAAATATCTAGAGGTTATTGAAGATTTGAGATGCAGACATGTCTGAAATTCATGAGAATTGAAAAGGAGTGTATCGTTTGTATTTTTAGTAATAAGACATGAAATGAGATAATGAGAGCAACAAATAAATCAAAATTGTGATAATCATTTCGAAACTTCTTTAGCCTACAATTAATATTCTTGAATTCGTTTTTCAGAACTTCTTGAAAAGCACGTTGCGTCTACAAAGACTTTATCAGTTGTTCTCAAGGACACATACCCCGTTGATTTCAGTTGTTATGGTGAGGACCATTACGACACCGGAAGTCTAGAAGATCTCATTTCTTTTCTCGATCATGGGAACGGTTACCATGGAGGCGGTAGTTACCATGGAGACAGCACAAATAAAATGGATATTACCCACAGGAAGAAGCGACATCTACAGAGCAAAAGTAAACAAAGGCAGGTTAACATGATGTTGTTGTCCCCCGCATTACGTACTGCAATGCAGAGCCTTCCTTTAGGTCAACTAGAAGAATTGTGCTCGAACCCCATCCCTTTGAATTCCAAACTTGGAAGATTTCAAAGTAAGCGTATTAAAAAACGAGCATCGAGTTCAGAAAAGACTCATGACAGAAATGAATCTCTATTGAGTGATGGCAAGTGCCCAAATATAACTGAACACCATGGAGAGCATGAACACGATCTGGCTCACACTTTGGCGCATGCTTGCCATATTGGAAGTATAGTTATTCTCACAATGATGGTGTGCGAGGTAAGTACAATCATATGAATTCCCTTTATGCCCAATCGCCCAAACGTTCTTCTGAACAGGCTAAAACTGTGCGAACAGATTGAACCAAGTTAAAACATTTTTACGATCTTGTTGTTACGAACTTCATGAACGTGATCTGATTTGAGGGTGCCCCAGACATTCGAGCCTCCTCAAAATTTTCTCCCGGCCATCCGATCTACAATTAGACAGGGTGGCAACGTCGAAAACAGATGTACATGTATATGTACTCGGATATCCTACTCGGGACGTGTCACGGGGTAGGCAACATGCATGGTCGTTGGAGAATCAATTGCAAAAGCACGTCAATAAAACTAGAAAGACATAAAAAAAGTTACAACCCAATCTATTCATACAATATTTTGGCATCATTTTAAGGAATGTAGTGTGAACTTGTTTACCGCGCGTATCGTAGAATAATCTGAGCATGTGTTATGCCGTTGGGTTTGTTTACGAAGATGGTCTAAGATGTGTTCCCAAAGGAACTTCTTTGGTGGATGTTATTCTCAATTTCATACAGAAAAGTACAAATTGATTTCATTTTCAGAAGCTGCTTCGCATACAAGCTTACGGCAGGAAGATTTTTAAAAGTAAATTCCAGGTAAGATTTGCAAAGACCTGACATTCCGAGCTGTCATTGTATCTCATAGTGATGTTGATTGTATCGCTTTCTACAGGATGACCCAAAAAACAAAATCCTCTTAAAATGTAATAATTTCCTAAATACTAGTCCCATCAGCCTGATTTTTCATATGCACAAATTAGAATCTACGGATGATAATATAATATCAAGTTTATTACACAAAATTGATTATTTGTGAGCATATTGAATGATCTTAAAATGTGTCCGATTTTCGGAAAATCACCATTTACACAAAAACGTATCTTAAGATTTTAATTCCAAAGAAGACTTGAAATCAAAGGTTCATTCAATATCTTAATTGAATAATGAAAAATATGCAACGCTAAAACTCTTAATAAAAAATCAGATGACTGAAATTCCTGGCCTCTGAACGAGATCACCTCGACGCTGCACATTGGATGCATTTTCAAGAAATCATTATTTCATTTTTGGAGGGTTCTGTTTTTTGGGTCACCATCAGTGTAGGCCTTAAGGGCCGGCCTGCTGGTCATTTCCAGCTTACTTTTGATACGGACCAGTTGTTTTTATACCTAGGTATAGAAAAATAACATTGCAACTGGTCTGTACTTCCATTTTGACCAGCAAGTTTCAGATCCTTAGGGCATACACTGGCCACTTTCTAGACTTAGACTTACTCGGCTATTTTGCGGCATATCATAGAACATACCGATAAATTGAAATAGTATAAATTGAATTATTGAATTGTAAGACGGATCTTATAATTATATCACATCGTGTACTTTAATAACATGCAAAGCAGGTTTAGCACAAAGTATAATATTCACTAATTTAGAACTGTACGATTATCATGACGCACGATGTTCTGTTCTGATAAATCTGATCATGGCCTGTGAATGAAGTGTTTCCCCATGTTCTTTCACTCGGGTCCCCCCGTTGGTTAAAAGCAGTGAAGACTGAGGTGCGAAGATTGTATTTTCCATGCTTTATCACGAGGTTTCAATTTTTGAACAGATGTTTGATGGTTTTGTTGTGATCCTGTCCTGGATCCTTGATCTTGCGCTAATTGATGGGATTTGGGCGCAGTCGGAAGTGGATGCTGCGCTACTGCTTATTATTCTCCTTCCATGGCGGATCATTCGTATAATCAACTGTAAGTAATTGACAGAAAAATGCAGAACTTCTGGAATATGTGCGTATGCACAAATGTCAAATGGTTAATGGTATACCGTAAAGACTAAAAGTGATACATAACACAGCTAAATGAAACATTTCAGAGTCAAACAAGTAATAAGGCAACCAAACCAGAAGTATCCCAAACCAAAATCTAAACGTTTTTATATTCAAAAGTTTACCATTCATATTCTGCAGTCGTGTTTATTATGAGGTCATGGCATCAATTTTCGTAATGCCGATTTCGACTCTTTAGTGCTTGACAATTACTCTCATATTTGATGAAGACACATATAATATTTGTTACAGGTTTTGTAATGACGTTCAGGGAGAGGTATAGGATACAAATTCGATTAATCGAAGAGAAAATGAAGGCGAGTGAAAGAAAGGCAAAAGAAGTATCTAATAAGATGATCTGCGCAAAGGTAAAATAAAACTATTAGCAACAGGGACTTAAGATAATCTATTCAAGGTAAGAGGGAGAATAGCCCAGAGTTCTTTGATGATGGACCTGTCCTAATGTTCCTGGTTCATCTCTGAATTCAGGGTAATTTTCTCCTCTTTTTCAAGGTGCTAGCTACAAGTACTAAGGCCGCTAGAGAATTTGATTGCGCCACCATCTTGTTCTGAACATTATTTTCGATCGTTGACGTATGATGCTTTTTACTGCGCTTAACAAACTTTCATGCAGTACCAAAAGCGTCAGTCAGTTTGGTGAATATACATTCGTTGCATTGGTTTTTGCTAAATCTAACAAACTCAGTGGTTTTCTTGCATCAAAATTGTATTTTAAGCATATTAGATGCACATTTCGCAATACCCACGAAAACACCAAAAACTTGAGTTCTTCGTTATGATTCTAAATCCTGAAAGCGCGAAAATGTGTCTTTCTTGACTGCGTTACGTTTACAAATGCATCACACACATTCGTTATGCGTTACACACTGTGTGTTTGCTATTCCAGAGAGAGATAACACATCTAAGAGATTTGGCTTCAAAACATGGCGCCACCGAGAAAGCCATTGAATTGTGCATGTTACAGTAGTGAGCTACATGCATATTATATTCTACTATATTCACCTATAGTTTAATTTGTAATGTATGTTTGCTGTATATGTTGAGCTATTCTTTATTAGAGATCTTAGGTCAAGGTCACAATGACATTATACACTGTATCTTGTAAACAGAACTGAACTGAATGACTCATTAACTCTTGACCATCTAGAACATTCTGAAACTTGTAAACATTTGCTCAGATTGAATCATGTCACTAAAGATGTCCAATCAAGATGTAGTTCCAGAAAATTCGTTTCTGGATCATTCTTTCACATTATAAAAAGAACAGCACAGTGACTCTCTTAGCAGATAATTAAGTAATCATAACTGGACATCTCAAAGGAACTAAATAAAGCAGAATTTCAAAGTTTATTCAAAAGACATCTTCTTAGCAGAAAATAACAGACACATACTGTGGGAACATTTATAACACTACAAACATACAACCTGAGGACTTTATATGGACATATATTATAACACACTCTATATACGGATTATCATATACATTCGTGGATTATCATAAACATTTGTGGATTATCATCAAACATTTGTGGATTATCATCAAACATTATTGGATACGAACATTATAGGATTACAACAAACATTATTGGATTATTACAAACATTGGAGAGCTATTAACGATTATTGAATCATTTCGTGATCTGGAACATTCTCAAGGATCATCAACGACATTTATCGACATCAAGAATAAGCCGTATCATTGATTGGACATCACTTAAGTATTAAACCTCCTTTATATTATTGTTATATTATTTAGTTTACAAAATATAAATATATTGTTATCATATTTTAATTGCTGTTTTTACTTTCTGTTATTTTCGAACGTAACAGAAATTGGGGGCTCGTCCGGGATTCAACTACAACAAGCTAAAATTCAAATATTTCAAAATTCGAAAATTGTGAATTTATATTGTGAAGACAGCAATTAACTGAAAATGAGTTTTGAGGTTGAGACATTCTTAGAAGCGCCCTCTTTGGAGGAATTTGATGATTTAAAGAAAACTGAACTTCTGGCAATTGCGAAACATGTTGGCCTGTCAGTCAAAAGCTCATACAATAAAGGTACAATTAAAAACTTTGTACTTCAATATTTGGTCGCAGAATCACTTCTGCCTGAGGAGCCAGTCCAGCATGTCGAGCATAATGATCCTACTAGGCTTAAAGAACTTGAATTGAGAGAGAAAGAGTTAGAAATTCAAAAAGAAAGAGAAATTAGGGAATTGAGAGAAAAAGAGTTGCAAAATGAAAAAGAATTGAGAGTGAAAGAGTTAGAAATTCAAAAAGAAAGAGAAATTAGAGAATTGAGAGAAAAAGAGTTAGAAATGCAAAATGAAAGAGAAAAAAGAGAAAATGAAAGACAAATGAGAGAACAAGAAATTCAGAGAGAAATTGAATTAAAACGTCTTGAGATAGAAGCTCAATCCAAATCTGAGGAACATGCTACTATGCATCAACATTTTGAAAATAGGTTTGACGCTTCAAAATTTCTCAAATTTGTACCTAAATTTCAAGAGAAAAATGTTGATAAATACTTTACACATTTTGAAAAGGTTGCTCAGAGCCTAGACTGGCCTAAATCTGCATGGCCAGTTATGCTCCAGAGTGTATTCATTGGAAAAGCAAGTGAAATATTTGCCTCTCTCTCAGGAGAAGTATGCTCTGATTATGACCTAGTTAAAAATGCAATTCTTAAAGCTTATGAACTAGTACCAGAAGCTTACAGACAAAAATTTAGAAATGCCCACAAACAGAGTGACCAAACCCATGTTGAGTTTGCTAGAGAGCAAGAGCAGCTTTTTGACAGGTGGCTTGTCTCTAAAGATGTATCTGAAGAGTTTAAAAAGCTCAGAGAGCTTATGCTAATAGAACAATTTAAAAACTGTGTTCAGTATCACATTAGAACTTACTTAGATGAACACAAGGTAGAAACTTTAAGCCAAGCTGCCACCCTGTCTGATGATTATGCTCTTACTCATAAGGGTAGTTTTATCAAGGGCAATCCTAACTTTAGAGGTTATCAAGGTAACAAACCTTCATATGATACAAAATCAAACCAGTCCTCATCATCAAATACATCAAACAAAGCAAAAGACCAGTCTAATTCATCACAGAGTTCTAGCTCAAAATCAGATCAATCAAAATCGTCAGGTCCAACATCAAATGTCACCTGTAACTATTGTAAAAAGCCTGGTCATCTTATTTCTGAATGCTATAGGATTAAGAATAGAAGAGAGATGTCTGGTTCTGCTCATTCAAATGGTTGTGCTACAGTTCCCATTTCAAGAAAGCCCATTGTTTGGGATTCATATACTCATACTGAGAAATCTACTCATGGTGATATTATGGAGGATTATAAGCCTTTCATGTCCGAAGGATCTGTGTCACTGTCAAGTGATGGTACCAATTCAAAGCCAATTAAGATTCTTAGAGACACGGGTGCATCTCAGACTTTGTTGTTAGAAGGCGTCCTTCCTTTATCTGAGGAGTCATTCACAGGTACCCATATTTTGATGCAAGGCATTGAATTAGGATTTACTAAAGTTCCCCTCCATCGTATTCATATCACATCAGAGTTAGTCAAAGGGCCAGTTATTGTTGGTGTTAGGCCACAACTTCCTGTTGAAGGAGTCGCATTGCTTTTAGGCAATGATTTAGCTGGGGGTAAGGTATCATTAGACCCCATTGTTTCTGATCAGCCTTGTTCTATTGAGGATTCTGTCCAAGAGGACTCTGATATATATCCTGCTTGTGCTGTTACTAGGGCTATGGCTAAAAAGTTAGCTGATAGCGGGGATTCGTCTGTGGGAGATGACTTTGATAGTGGGTTTTTAAGCTCCTTGTTTGATGATGAATGTCACTCACCACTTGTTAAAGATGATCCTTATCCTATTTTAAAGGCAAATTCTTCATTGAAACAGCCTTCTGTTCGAGCCAAGCAGTCATCTATTGAGGCAAATTCTTCATTGAAAAAGCCTATTGCCAGAGGTGAATCACCTTCTGAGCAGGATCACTATTTTAATGCGGTTTCGCCCGCTCTTGCTAGTCCTGATGAAGTTCCATCTTCTTCTGCTAGTGTTCATGAGGTTACATCCTCTTCTAGTTCTGAGGTTTCATCCTCTATTTCTGATAGTGATTCTTTGAAAAATGATCCTCATTCTAAACACATGTTAATTTATGAACAAGAGCATGATCCATCACTCATTGATCTTCATAAAAGATGTCTTACTATTGATGAAGCTATCAAGGTCCCTGTTTGTTTCTACAAAAAGGATGGCATATTAATGCGAAAGTGGAGACCCCCTGAAGCTTCCCCTGAAGATGATTGGGCAATTGTACATCAAATTGTTGTCCCAAAATCATATCATAAGGAAATCTTGAGTCTAGCTCATGATTTTCCCATGGCAGGTCATTTAGGAGTAACTAAAACATACCATAAAATACTCAATCATTTCTATTGGCCCAAATTAAAACAAGATGTTCAAGAGTATTGTACGTCTTGTTACACATGTCAAATGGTAGGGAAACCTAACCAGGAAATCTCAATTGCTCCTTTACAACTTATACCTGCATTTGATGAACCATTCAGTAAGGTTCTTATTGACTGTGTTGGTCCATTACCAAAAACAAAATCTGATAGTCAATATCTGCTCACTATTCTATCTATGACCACACAGTTTCCAACAATAAAATCACTCCTCATGCTTAGAAATAGCAAAACCAAGTATATTGTGAAAACACAAATCAACAATTCCACATTAGTTGAGCTACCAAAGGAGCTCATATCTGACTTACAATCTAACTCAGTGATGAATGATTTCATTTGCATTGATAAAACTACTCCTGTGAGGTGTAGAGAGCTACATATGATGAAAAGGTATGTTGAGCGTGATAAAATTTCTTTACTCAACATGAGCTTGAGCTTGTGCTCTTAGCTCGTAGGCCAAACTTGTATGTCAATGACAACTATACATGTATGTTATTCAAGAGTCAGATATTGTAAATTATAATGATTAACTCATGAAGATTATATTATATGGTAGGCAAATTAGAGATTTGTGATAACTGTCACTTTATTTTAACAATATATAAAAACATTTGCCTAAATAGTGAAATTGATATTATATGAACTACAAGAATGTTTCTAGATTATGTGAGCATTATAGGTAATCTTTAAATAGTGTCACAAGATTACTTGATAACATCAGAGTGTACTATTAGAAATACTTACATAAGATCATGTGATAATTTAAAACATTGTACTAGTTTAGTGTTTGTCAGACTCAAAAATGTATGCTATTGTACATGTTATATGATCTATTGCGTGTATTGTATTTATGACTTAATGCATAACTTATGTAGATACTATTGTAGTATATGATTACAAGAACATTATATGTTATTAGATTGTACTCACACTGTAACGATAGAAAGTATTAAATACTTGTAAACATACTGCACATAAAAAGACTATTGTAAACAAATATTATGTAAGTCTCAACCTCACTTTTAGAAATTGTAACGCTCGCTACTCAAGATATTATTGTAAAAGTTTTTCATTGCATTCAAAACTTTTCTTTTAAGGAGGGAGGTGTTACAGTAGTGAGCTACATGCATATTATATTCTACTATATTCACCTATAGTTTAATTTGTAATGTATGTTTGCTGTATATGTTGAGCTATTCTTTATTAGAGATCTTAGGTCAAGGTCACAATGACATTACACACTGTATCTTGTAAACAGAACTGAACTGAATGACTCATTAACTCTTGACCATCTAGAACATTCTGAAACTTGTAAACATTTGCTCAGATTGAATCATGTCACTAAAGATGTCCAATCAAGATGTAGTTCCAGAAAATTCGTTTCTGGATCATTCTTTCACATTATAAAAAGAACAGCACAGTGACTCTCTTAGCAGATAATTAAGTAATCATAACTGGACATCTCAAAGGAACTAAATAAAGCAGAATTTCAAAGTTTATTCAAAAGACATCTTCTTAGCAGAAAATAACAGACACATACTGTGGGAACATTTATAACACTACAAACATACAACCTGAGGACTTTATATGGACATATATTATAACACACTCTATATACGGATTATCATATACATTCGTGGATTATCATAAACATTTGTGGATTATCATCAAACATTTGTGGATTATCATCAAACATTATTGGATACGAACATTATAGGATTACAACAAACATTATTGGATTATTACAAACATTGGAGAGCTATTAACGATTATTGAATCATTTCGTGATCTGGAACATTCTCAAGGATCATCAACGACATTTATCGACATCAAGAATAAGCCGTATCATTGATTGGACATCACTTAAGTATTAAACCTCCTTTATATTATTGTTATATTATTTAGTTTACAAAATATAAATATATTGTTATCATATTTTAATTGCTGTTTTTACTTTCTGTTATTTTCGAACGTAACAGAAATTGAATTTTCTGGAACTACATCTTGATTGGACATCTTTAGTGACATGATTCAATCTGAGCAAATGTTTACAAGTTTCAGAATGTTCTAGATGGTCAAGAGTTAATGAGTCATTCAGTTCAGTTCTGTTTACAAGATACAGTGTATAATGTCATTGTGACCTTGACCTAAGATCTCTAATAAAGAATAGCTCAACATATACAGCAAACATACATTACAAATTAAACTATAGGTGAATATAGTAGAATATAATATGCATGTAGCTCACTACTGTAACATGCACTAAGAATTCCAAAGGTAGGTCAACCTACGTCGGCTGATAATGCATTCAATAAATACTATAGTATACACGTCTTTCGTATATACGCACACAAAGATACAGTAGCTCGGCCCATGGCTGCCTTTGCAGTGCCATCTTTGTGTCGCCTTGTTCATTATTCATACGCAAGGCGAATTCGTTTTTTTCAGCTACAGTGGGTTTAAGCTTGTATGTAAAATCGAAACGCCAACCTATTCGTATGACCAATCGCCCATACAAATGCATCGTTTAAATATTTTCCGTTCATGTTAAGGTTGTGAAAAACATTGCACGCTTAAACTCCCTAATCATTTGTAGCCGAGACGGCCATTGTATTTTGTGTACATTTCAGATTCACTCAGTCGTAAAACTGGAATGTACCTTCATAGCATGTCGATGATTACCAATATTCTCCAAACAACGTTCTCTCACCATACAGATGAAACAGAAGATGAACATAATGACTCGAAACCATCAGGTGTGTACAAAACGTCTGAAACCCAAATTGTCAAAAATTGTCGGTTTTCAGTCAAGGGGATGCGATCGCGGCATAAGCGAGCCAAAAACAGATATTTGTTTTGAATTTTACAAAGAGTGGTGCAACTTCCTTCAAAATTGAGCAAGAAGCGTCAAATAAAAAGGATTTTAAAGTTATTTTATTTTATCTAGTGGTTGTATTTTGGTTATTTTGGGGGGTTATTTTCGCACCCCTCGCCTCCCCTGGCTACGCCTATGATATGTTATAATATATCTGTTGTGGGATCCAAAGTCTCTACCATCCCTTGTAATAGAGAACTTAAGATAAACTGATAAAGAGACTCTGATTAATAAAAATCTATGTATATCTTTTCTTAAGAGAAATTGTACGTAAACCTATATAGCTGAGGTCCTGTATTTACTTAACATAATTATGAATCTGTGCACAAGTCCTCTAAAACATGAAGCTTAAATCGGTAACATCATATAAACGTATCTTACGATTTTATAATGTCCGAGTCTGTTCTTTTCAGAAGGTACGCCTAAGTCTATTATACAACCTGAAAAGCATCGGGAAGAAATTCAAAATGGATTCAAGGAGATATGCAGGTAAAACAATTGTTACATTGGCATGGAGTTGTCAACAATTCACATTATGAAAGATGTTATATGACTATCGACTGAACTGAATTCGAAGCAAAAACGTACCTCTATGTTTAAACAAAGAAAGCATTTTCAGTAAAAAGTAAATTTTCACGTGAAATTCGTCTTTGTTTTTCAGTATTGGGGTAGAGACTTCAGTTGTACATGTTAATGAAACAAGTGCACATCCTGACGAAACAATAGTGCAACCTGATAAAACAATGGTACAACCTTCTGAAACAATGGTACAGCCTGACAAAACAATGGTACAACCTGATAAAACTATGGTACAACCTGATAAAACAATGGTACAACCTTCTGAAACAATGGTACAACCTGACAAAACAATGGTACAACCTGATAAAACAATGGTACAACCTGATAAAACAATTGAAGGACCTTCTGGAACAATGGAACAAACTGTGGAAACAAGCGTAAAACCTGCAAAAACAATGGTTCAATCTGTAAAGACAATTGAACAACCTACAGAAACAACGTTTGAACCTGTAGAAACGACGGTTCAACCTTTAGAAACAATGGTTCAACCCCTAGACGCAATGGAAGAACCTATAAAAACAAACTTAAAACCTATAGAAACAGCGATGCTGCCTGTAGAAACAATGATTCAACCTGTAGAAAAAACGGTTCAACATGAAGACACAATGGTAAGACCTTTAGAAACAAAAGTAAAACCTGAAGAAACAGCGATGCAGGCTGTAGAAACAATTGCTCAACCTGTAGAACCAATAGAAAAAATGATAAAGCCCGTGGAATCAATGGCACAACCTTTAGAAATTATGACACAATCTGCAAAAACACCAGTAAAACCTGTAGAAACAATGGGCCAACCTGTAAAAACAATTGAACAGCCTTTACAATCAACGGCACAACCTACAAATGCAATGGCACAAACTGCAGAAACAACAGTGCATTCTGGAAACAAATAGAAAAATTGGTACACCCTGTAGAAACAGCGGTTCGATTTAGACAAGTGCAAGCACTACTACTAAGGGTGCAGATATACACCCACAAAAGGTTTAATCGGGCGAAATAAGTAGGGATAATCTTGCGATTAAATCACCGGGTCGTGTAGAAAATCACCCGGGCGTGTAGGTAAAACCGTAAGCCTCTTCCCAGGAGATTTCGGGCTCATATTTTAGGGTCCTGGGGTAGAATTTTGGCAGTTTCCAGTGGCTGATCCAGGAACCAACAAGGGGGGGGGCAAATTTGCGGTCAGAGGAAAAAACGACCGAAGATTTTGGGCCCCTAAAACCGAAAAGTGGGGCCAAATTTTGAAAATTTGAGGCCCATTTTCTTCAAAATTTGGCCTGAAATTACGGTGGTATTCGACCGTGACCCGGGTAACCTCTTCCCGTTAGAGCGGGGGAGGAGTCTGCGTCCCGAGTCTACTCCATATAAACCATACATAATCGTCGAATAATTCACAAACAAACAACACTTCTGAATTAGTCTCGTGTTAAACATTATATTTACAAACTTCGAATTATATAATATCGATACACTTTCATTATGGGTCTAACATTATTTTTTACGTACATCCGATGCGATTATACGATTTTATTTTTTCAACTATACCCAACCTAGCGGGCGGGCCTCAACACAGTGAAATATATTCGGAAAAAGTCTTATTTTTTTACAAAATAAAATTAAGTCGTTATTTACAGTTTTTTAGTCGCCCTTATGTTTACTGTTTACATACATTATGTTTAACTCTTTATACAGTGTTAATACGTTTAGTCAAACATTTTTGTCCCCTCTTAGTGCATTTAAAAATGTTGTTTGAATTTCCGATAACTTAATTTGTCGCGGTTTCTAAGAAAAAATGCGGCAGTCTGACTTCGTCCAAAATTGATTTTAGGGAATTTGAAGAACCTAACCTCACCAAGTGATAGAATATGCCTAAATTTGAAAAAGGTTTTCGAAACAAAAAGCAGGAATTTTTTCAGAAAATAATTCTTGAGGCAAATCCAAATACGACCAAAGAAAAATAATTTGTACTAGATCGTAGATATAAAATTTATCGGCGCGACTCAAATGTTCGCAAAAGTATAGGAATGTTTCTGAACTCTTTCTTTATCACATATTTATGGGAAACATTCTCCCACCTTGGAGTTGTTTCGGGCGTGTGCTGTATAAAGGCTTTGATAAACTTTGACTTTGAACAGATAACATGTCGACTACTTAAATCTACATGAGAGTCAATTGAAACCTTATCAAAATTCCAATTTCCGCCATATTCAATATTAAGATGTTATTGAATTTCCGATAATCAATATTTGAATTAAAGATCGTGTAATATTCAATATGTTTTCCACCCGCCCATGGAAGAAAAAATAGATTTTTTGATAAGGTTCGAATCGATGGACTTACGTGTAGATTTGAGTAGCCAACATGTTTACAGTCAAAGTATATCAAAGCGTTCGAGCATCGAACATTACATACCTGACACGTGTAAACATGCGAGATGCGAAAAAACATATTTCAAATCTATATATATATGGAGTTATTTCTACATTTTGTTGAGCAATCAAACACTGTCTCAAGCATCTTTAAGATAAACATTTATACTTCTCGTTGGGAGGGATCACCAGATGCTTGAGACAGTGTTTGTCTTAAAGTCGATACGGCCACCGCCGCTTGAGCGGCGCTTGAGGGGCTATTGTTTGGTACGCTCAAAATCGGGCTAACGTCCTCTGATTGAACGGACCCGCGTCCGTGGTTGTATTCAGTTATAACAGCCCCGTCGTTTCGTGGTCGTTTACGTTCGGCGGCGCTCGTTGTTTCCGACTTAACAAAAGACGCGGGGCGTTTTAGTCCAGCTTTTGATTTTATCTTTGGCCTCTTTTTATCGGAGCTGCCCTTGCTTTTTACTAGTGTGTTAGGCGGGGGGCGTTCCTGGCGTCTTTATCACTTTCTTGCCGTATTGCGGCGATCATCTCTTGTACCCCGCTCATATCGAAATCCTGAAATAAGATTTTTTTAAAGATAATACATAAACAAAATATACCATAACGAGATAGGCATGTTAGCACAATAATTTTTAAAAAGAAAACTCAAATTATTGTCGGAACGTGTAATAACTAAACAGGAGCGTCTGAAAGTAAATCCTTTTTTTAAATTTATTATCGCTAGTATACGATGTTAGTAAAGACGAAAGAATTATATATTGAATCGTACTTCATTTTGGCATAGATTAACCACTAACTACGGTATTACACTCACCGAATTCCACGAGTCTTTACTCTCGTCTCCCGAGTTCTCCTTTCCCGTTTCAATTTCAGGAATTAACGGTAATATGTTTGGTAGGTCCTCCGAGCTACTGCTAGAGCTACCGGGTGCTGTGTCGGTTAGTAACTGCAACTAAAAAAAGAAAGTTTCAGTTTTTTCAAATATTTTTTTCGGCATGAGAAATAACTAAAAGCAACGCTTTATGGGAACAAAATAAATTCGAAACATACGAAATTGTGTTTGATATTTTACCGCCATTTTTTAAGTTTTTTTCATTTCAGCAGAATTCATCATTGCCTGTTGAGTACTAAGAGACCTTAAATTTAAACTAATCGGGTTCTTCCTAACAGAAAAAATATAATACAATTAAGAGTATGACAGTTTGCCATTTCTAAACACGATTCGGACCCTTACTAAAAGTAAACTTTATCACTCAGTATAGAATTATGAAAAATGTATCATTCTAAAGTAATAAAATTCACGAAAATCAACTTACTGTAATGGGTTTTTCCACCCAGCTATTCTTTTCGGGAGGTCCGGTTAAGGAGCTGGAAGGGCGCTGAGGTCCTGTTAATGAGCTGGAAGGGCGCTGAGGTCCTGTTAATGAGCTGGAAGGGCGCTGAGGTCCTGTTAATGAGCTGTAAGAGCGCTGGGATCCTGTTAATGAGCTGGAAGGGCGCTGAGGTCCTGTTAAGGAGCTGGAAGGGCGCTGAGGTCCTGTTAATGAGCTGGAATGGCGCCGAGGTCCTGTTAAGGAGCTGGAAGGGCGCTGAGGTCCTGTTAAGGAGCTGGAAGGGCGCTGAGGTCCTGTTAATGAGCTGGAAGGGCGCTGAGGTCCTGTTAATGAGCTGGAAGGGCGCTGAGGTCCTGCTAATGAGCTGGAAGGGCGCTGAGGTCCGGTTAAGGAGCTGGAAGGGCGCTGAGGTCCTGTTAATGAGTTGGAAGGGCGCTGAGGTCCTGTTAAGGAGCTGGAAGGGCGCTGAGGTCCTGTTAATGAGCTGGAAGGGCGCTGAGGTCCTGTTAATGAGCTGGAAGGGCGCTGACTCCGCTGAGGTCCTGTTACGGAGCCGGAAGGGCGTTGAAGTCCTGTTAATGAGTTGGAAGGGCGTTGAGGTCCTGTTAATGAGTTGGAAGGGCGCTGAGGTCCTGTTAATGAGCTGGAAGGGCGCTGAGGTCCTATTAATGAGCTGGAAGGGCGCTGGGGTCCTGTTAAGGAGCTGGAAGGGCGCTGAGGTCCTGTTAATGAGCTGGAAGGGCGCTGAGGTCCTGTTAATGAGCTGGAAGGGCGCTGAGGTCCTGTTAAGGAGCTGGGAGGGCGCTGAGGTCCTGTTAATGAGCTGGAAGGGCGCTGAGGTCCTGTTAATGAGCTGGAAGGGCGCTGACTCCGCTGAGGTCCTGTTTCGGAGCTGGAAGGGCGCTGAGGTCCTGTTAATGAGTTTGAAGGGCGCTGATGTCCTGTTAATGAGCTGGAAGGGCGCTGTGGTCCTGCTAAGGAGCTGGAAGGGCGCTGAGGTCCTGTTTAGGCGCTTCTCCGCTTTTTTTTGTTTTTTTTGGCGTAAGCCACTCCTGCGATGAGTGAGCGAGGGAAAGGGTAACATCCATACGTTCCAAAATCATTGGCATATGGTTTTGTAGGTTTGTGAGCGCCCTCTCGGAAATATAGAAACTCTCGACTACCTTCTTCGACAAACCGCCGACTCTCAAACGTGCAGCAATTTTTCCTGAGGGCCACACGAAGCAAAGGCTCCAAAGGAATGTAATTGGTGTTGAGCGAAAGGCTTTGCCCCAGTCTTCTCCTCATGCTGCCCACCCTCCTTCCTAGATTAGACGCAGTCATGCTGGATATATTGATCTCCGTTCTAGCCATGGTCAACTTCAAATAAATATTGTTCTTTTTGCTTATTTTGTTTCCTCTATTGACGCCAACTATTGACCCAGGCATTACGGTTTTACCTACACGCCCGGGTGACTTTCTACACGACCCGGTTATTTAATTCCTAGATTATCCCTACTTATTTCGCCCGATTAAACCTTTTGTGGGGGTATATCTGCACCCTTATGCCTTGGTCACATTTGCTCCGATTTTCACTACGGCGCCCGACCGATTGAGTATTTTGTTCAAAATTGAAAAAAATATTAAACAAAACACTCAATCGGCCGGGCTCCGGCCGATGGATCGGGGCAACTGTGACCAAGGCATTAGTAATGCAAGCAACAGTACACGATCAGATAATGTAGATGCAGTGTTATATTCTGAATCTGAGATGTTTAACTATTGTGATACCTAATTGATTATAAAACTACACATCGGAATATTAATGTTACTTTTGTAACAATGCTGATATTACTAAAGATGGACAAATCGAAAAGAAAAACAAGATGTTTTGGAAGGTTGTGTTTTCTGTACTTTTTTATTTGCACTGTATGAAATGTCCCTATGTTTTATTTTTTGGAATACACGTTCATTAAAAAATATACATTGACATCTTTTGTGATTCCAATGGGAAATGTGTTTGGCTTACCAAAATTCAGATATTCTTGAAGTCGTGACTCGTTTGTTTCTGAATCCTTGCTACAACATATACAACCCTATACAAAATGTTTATATAGCCAACAAAAAGTTCTTGTAAAAACCAAGCTGAATGTCCTGTTTAAGAACCCCTATTCTTACTATTGAAATGGATTCTAGCAATATATAATACTATCCAACATGAATCTACTTGTTGAGACTCTATCAACTTGAGTTCTTCTGAGAAAATGAGGATTTCAGCAAGGGTGCAATTGACTTGTAATGGGGATGCAATTGATTTCATCCTTCATATTTACTGTAGATATGCAGGATAAAATAAATTGCATCCCCATTATATCACTTGACCAGAACCAAATGTAGCAAAATGCACCATTGGCATTGTCTAGGTTATATAGTCAACCTTCATTTTTTTGAAAATGGTGTACCTTTTTTTATTCTGTGTAATTCATTATTCAAATTTGGTATTCAAATTCTAACACCTAACTTTTTGTACACTAAGTGTTTAGTTTACTTGATGAATACTAAAGTTTCAAAGTCATTTTTGAGAATCACTTTCGCCTCCTGTGTTATTTTAATGGGAGAGGTTTTTTGAAAAACAATTTTGAATTTAAAGACCTCTAACTTTGTTGAGCCTGAAGAAACGTATCAATTTTTTGTTAAATAAAGTTAACAAATTCAATTGCCTCCCTAACTTGTATTTTTTGCAAGGACTTGGATGGATGGCTATTCTGTCATATGACTTATGGCAAACCTATCATTTCCCATTGGTTAACATGGGAATGTCGATTTTCAAAAATTCATCGAATTTATCATCAATTTTCGACCTATTGTAATCGAGGGAAATATTGAGAAAATTTGGAGGTTTTGTAAAGAAAGTCAAGTTGCGTTCCCATCAATATTATAAGTTTTTTCTATCGCAGTTTAGTAAATAAATATTCAAACGGAATGAAGCTAACACTTAGTTCCAGAGGGTGTTACGCGGTATATGGCATACATTCATGGTTGCGCGGTATTTGTGATACGGGTGAATATGCCATACTCACCTGCGGTATATGGCATATTCCGCAGGCTAGTATGCGATATTCCGCAGTGAATATGCGATACATTGATTTCAGTGAATACCCGATACTCACCTGCGGAATATGTTATACTCACTTGCGGAATATGCCATATACCGCAGGTGAATATGACATATACCGCAGGTGAAAACGTGATACAGAAAGCCTTGATTTGATTGGTTGCGAGAATCGACTCTAAATGTAAAACTACGCTGGATTACCAATATAGTTAGTGCGTCGAGTACTAATATATAAATCCAGGATTGATTGAGTAAGTTTATTACGCGAGATTGGTGACTGATACTTCTGCTAAGTTAATATATTCGATACACAGTACTGTTGATTCAGTAATCATTATAATAATTAACGTTTTACTTGTTCGTTCAATCTATGCAATTGACAATTGCGTACTTCCGTATCACGTTCTCATTGGTTAGTGTGTATGCCATATACCGCAGGTGAATCTGTCATACACCGCAAGTGAATATGCCATATTCTTTGCGGAATATGACATATTTTTGTGTCGTGTTTACCGCAAAACAGAGGGGAGCTAATTATAACGTTGCCAAACTTATGGAGGGAAGTGTACACCGAACATCGTCCACTTAAAGTCTATAAATGTCAACACGTGTGGTTCTGACATACTGGAATAAACATTTCTCGAACAATTCCAAGAACAACAGTGTCCGAAAATCAATCAATTCAGGCGTTACCTTTACCAGTTTACTGTGAAGTACGGCGGGTCAACTATATTACTGACTTAAGTTAGTCTTTAACACTGCTTCAAAGCAACAAGTTGGTTGAACCTAAAAATAAGAGATTGAAGGATTATTGTGCAATAACATATTGAAAAATATATTCATACCGTGCACACGAAGTTGTATATTTCAGATTATTTAGTGTTTAGTGCAATAAGCCTGCGCTCTCTTGTAATCTGAAGTGTATCCGCCATGTTAACACTTGGCAGGAGAATAATCAAAATATAAGAAGTTACATAATTTATAAGCCAACCACGTGGTCACGAGCAATCCACGATATGCAAATGTCATTCCTGTGCAATATCACTGGGGGGTATCGTGATGCAACAACACCGTGTTGTTGCATCAAGATGGCAAGACTTCCGGTGATAGATTTTCGTACGATATTTTGTTTTCCCAATTTAAACCAATTTCTAGGACGAGTTGCTCAATAATCATACACGTGCAGTTAGCTCATGATCTAGATTTAAAAAAAACTCTCATTAGTATGCATGTAGCATCATCAAGAAGCGAGAAATTCGCGGTTTTAATTCCTCACTATTGATGCAACAACACCACTCTGTTTATTATCAATGATGCAACAACACCAATGTGCTGATGCAAAAACGCCAATATAATGTATCATTGAATATCAAGAGAAACTGTTTTATGTTCTGTTTATAGGTGTTGGTCGGGACATGAATAAAACGCGTGAGTGCGTGGTTCATGAATGAAACATATTTTGTTTGATTCCGTAATGTATTTGTCTTTATCAAAGTAAAAAGGATACACAAGGTAAACTAAATACATAGGCTAAGTATTGAATCCCCGGGAGCCAACCTCATTGATATTGTATCTGAAAAATAAAGATTATTCATTTTCTAAATTAAATCCCCTTGATTTACCGTATCGTATGGAAATTGTTTACAAAGAATAATATAACTAGACTTTGGAAATTGAACAAGTTCAATTTCAGACTCCAGATCTGGACTTTTTTAAGCCGAGTCATCCAGAAAAACATGGATGGATGGATGGATGGATGGATGGATGAAATAGGAAGGAGGGATAGGACAGAATAGGATGGAACGATGGGAGAGAATAGAGAAGAAAGATAGGATAGAATAGCAAGGAAAGGATAGGAAGGAAAGGATAGGAAGGATAGATAGATAGGAAGGAAAGGATATGAAGGATAGATAGGAAGGAACGGATAGGGATAAAAGGGATAGGATAGGAAGGATAGGATAGAATAAGAAGGAACGATAGGATAGAATGGTAGGATAGGATAGGAAGGAAGGATGGATGGAAGGATGGATGGATTTTTCAACATTTTCTTCGCTACTCTTGACTTTCTTCGCGCGCTACTCTTGACTTTCTATCAGGATACCATCAGATCGATTTTTCTCGAAATTTCAAAACGCCATAACTTCCGAACCGGAAGTCGGATCGAAATTTGGTTTGCAGATTCTGATTTCTGAGAAAATTCTATTCTTCATTCATAACTCAAACGTTAATTTTGGAGAATTTTTTATTTTGAACTACTTTTTGGACACCATATCTCAAGGCTAACACTATTAGTACACTCTTGGCTACATGTATACACAATTTCGAAGAATATAATTGAAGGGTAGTGTCAGAATCACAAAAATAAGGAAAACTTTGAATTTGACCTAGATTTTGACCTAGACATTTTTGTGCCCAAATTTTGAAGCTAGATTGCTTTTGAGGTACCCTTCATTTAAAGGCTTTCATTAAATTAAGCTGTACTCGGTCGTATATATGTCGTATTTTACACTTCAAAAATTTTTTTTTGCCCATTGACTTAACACGGGGCACCAAATTTAGCGATTTTGAGTTTTCAAAACGCCATAACTTCCGATGAGTGTTGGTTTAATGATATTGCAGTTATACAATGCTATTATATAGAGGTTATTTACTGAGAGGGATTCAATATTGGTTTTATTCCGGACACATTATGATATTTCCCGAGGGCCCAGGGGGAATCTGGGATTACTGTACCCCTATCAATTTACCTTTTCGGGACCTAAATTACCTACCTTTTTACTCAATCGGGGAGAACGAATCCAAAGAGAACAATACTTCTACATGTGCGCTGTGCAAGATTTCCAATAGCTTGTCGTGTTTACCGAGAACGAAAGATGTTTGTCTACCATTTTGAATGATACTAACTGGTATCAGGGTCATCAAGCTATGGAACAGGGGTTTATGATAATAAATTGGGTTACTATAGCTTGCAATGTTAAAGGCGATTGAACTATGTTATAAAACAACTTCCAGTACATTATGATACTGTATTTAAAAGTATAAATTTTTGAAAAAATACATATAAAGAATCTTCGCCCGCAGGACATGTATTTTGAATGCCTGAGAAGAACGCAAATGGGTACTGGCCTGGTGTTGCAATAGTTGCATTTAAAAATCTGTTCCTCTCGAGATTTATGGTCTTCTGAAATTATACTATTAATTGGTGTTGTTGCATCATTGCTCAAATCTAGAGGAGTGTTGTTGCATCTTCGGTTTGGTGTTGTTGCATCAATAGTGAGGAACTAAAACCGTGAACTTCTTGCTTCTTGATGATGCTACATGTATACTAATGACAGTTTCTTTAAATATAGATCATGCGCTAACTTCACGTGTATGGTTATTGAGAAACTCGTCCTAGAAATGGGTTTAAATTGGGGAAACAACTTATCGTACGAAAATCTATCACCGGAAGTCTGGCCATCTTGATGCAACAACACGGTGTTGTTGCATCAC